GGAGGGGCAGGGACCACCGGGGAAGGAGTGACCAGGAACAGCGGGGGAGTAACCGGGGGACCGCTGTGGGGGAAGCGGCGGTAGAAGGAGACTGACTCGTCAAAGGTGACGTCACGGGAGTGAAAGAACCGGTGGGACGGTGGGTGATAGAAATGCCAGTCGGACGCGTCAAGGGGAAAACCGAGGAAGACACAAGGAAGGGTGCGGGCAGTGAACTTGTCCGTGCCAGAGGCACGAACGTGAGCAAGGCAGCCCCAGACGTGGAACGCAGTCGCGTCACCAGGAGACCCAGTCCAGAGAAGGGTCGGCGAAACCTGCGGCTGCTGGGGGGTGCACCCACAAATTAAGCTGGTGAGCGGCGTAGCGAACCGCGAACGGCCACAGAAAATGGGGTGCACCGGCATGGATCATGGAGGTACGAGCCACCTCCATGACCAAACCGATGCGTCGCTCAGCGACCCCATTCTGCTGCGGGGAGTCTGGCAAGGTGAATGTCTGGGTGATGCCCTCCGCACGACAGAAGCGACCAAGGACACCTAAGGCAAACTCGCCACCACGGTCGGAGTGAAGACGCAAGACAGGGAGACCACGGCGGACACGCGCAGCAACAAGCCAGGGGATGAGGGCGGCAGGCACGTCGGCCTTCCGCTCCAGGGGAAAGACTGTGGTGTAGCGCGTGAAGTCGTCGACAAGCACGAGGAAGTAGAGCTCGCGACGTGGCCCATGGACGGGGGCGGGGCCCCAGACGTCCATGTGCAGGGTCTGTAACGGCGCGGCGGTAGGGGGAAACGAGGAGTGAGGGGCAAGGCGAAGCCGGCCTTCGACGCAAGGTGTGCACGGGGGGGCGGGGGAGGAGGGAAACGCTGTGAACGAACCGGGGAGACCAAGGACGAGACCATGCTGGGACATGTGACGCAGACGCGGGAGCGCAGGGTGACCTAGGCGGTGGTGCCACAAGAGAGTCGGGTGGGTGAGGGACCGACAAGAGGAAGCAGCAGCAACCTGGGTAGACGCAGCCACCTGGGGAGGCGTCCCTGCCGAGAGGGTCATGGTGTCAAGTGTGAACAGGCCGGACACCGGGTCCCGGGGGAACGTGGTAAGGGGGGCACCTGTGGCGGCCTCGGTACAGACAGCATACCGCTCGTGACCAGGGAACGTAGTGGTGACGCCAAGGTCCTGGAGGCAGCCGACACCAACTAGGTTCCTGGAGAACGAGGGGATATGCAGACCTGTGAGAGAGCCCGAAGGAACCGCCGGACAGGGAAGGGTGGTGGAACTGCGGGCGACTACCGGACCGCCGAAGGGGTCAGCAAGAGAAACGGCAGCAGGAACAGAAAGCGGCGTCAGCGTAGTGGAGTCGCGGAAGAAACACCGGGAAGCGCCAGATTCCAAGGTGAAGGAAAGCGCAGCAGTGGTGTCTGGCGGCGGAGAAGCGGCGGAAGCACCGAGGCTAAACAAAGCACGAGATCCTACGCCTGACGCAGCAGGGGGGTCTAAGCTAGGCACACCTACACTAGGCAACAAGGGGTAATAAGAGGGAAGCACACTAGAGTCATCAGCATACATCACATGCACGTCGGCTACAATGGCATCCATGTCCAAGTCAAAAATCTGAACCTTACGACTAAGCAAACTGTGCCAGTCCGGGAGGTCGGGCGACGGGTCGAAGCGCTGACGGAAAAGGTCGTCCAAGTGACGAAAACAGCGAGGAGTGGAGTGACCGATCTTACCGCAAACGAAGCCGCGGCGAGGACCGGTCTGGATCTGGTACTGACATCGCACGCCTCCGGAACCACCACCCGGCCCACCACCACGCGCACGGCCACCACCAGCTCCAGGCCACCCGAGCGGGAGGGCACTCGCCTGCCTCGGCTGCTGCGACAGCTGCGGCTGCGGCGGCTGCGGCTGCTGCGACGGCTGCTGCTGCTGCGACGGCTGCTGCAGCTGCTACTGCGACGGCGGAGGCGGCTGCACAGCTGGAGTGGGCGGGGTGCCCGCGTCCGCTCCAGCACCAGACGGCCCGCCTCCACCACCACCTCCACCGGCACCCCCTCCTCCCCCGCCGCGCCCAGCCTTGGGGCGGCGGCCCTTCCCCGGATGGAACTGCGCTGCGGCAGTGGTCTCAGCCACAGTGGCAGAACCATCGGAGAAGGTGCACTGAGAAGGGGCAAAACCCTGAAAGATAGGGACCGGCACAGTACCGCTCGCCTTTGCGATAGAGCGGTGGCGGGTCTCAATCACAGTCAAGGTGTCTACAAAGTCTGTGAGGGTGAGGTCACCAGGGTGAAGGCTAAGGAACTAGTCGCGAGCGGTGGCAAGGCGATTAGGGAGGCGGGTGGCAAGCAGGTAGAGGGTAGAGGTCATTGGCGGCTGGTGGGCTCTAAGCTGTGCGTCAGTGCAGGCAGCGCGCCAGGTCTCATCAATAGTGCGCAGGTGGGCAGCTAGGTCCGCGACAGTGGGGAAAGACGCAAGGTCAGGAAAGAGCATCGGGAGGAACAGGCGACCCACGGATGCAGCAGGCGGGGTGGAATAGCGCTTGATGACAGCATCTAAGAAGGCCTGAGCGGTAGTGATAGACCTAAAGCGGGGACGCTCTGACAGAGGTAGGGCATTACTAATGGCAAGTTGCGCGACAGCGTCTCGGGAAAGCCAGACAGAGCGAGCAAGGGCAGCAGCGGCAGCCGACTCGCGCTCAGCGGATGTGGGGTCAGCAGGCAGCAAAGCAGTAGGGTCTGGGCAGGGAAGCGTACCATCAAGGTGTGCCGACAGCGAGTGACCATCCTGCCACTGGCCAGTGAGGTGGCGGCGGAGGTCAGCAAGCCATGCCTCGAACTCAAGAGGCTGGCCTTCAGCGTCGAAGCGAAGCTCCGCCGCCATGAGGAACAGTGCAGTGCAGGGCAGTACTAGGCGGTGCAGTGCGATACAGGGCGGTGCAGTGCGGTGCAGTGCGGTGCAGTGCGGTACAGTGCGGTGTTGTGTGGTGCAGCGCGGTACAGTGCGGTGCTGTGCGGTGCAATGCGGTGCAGTGCAGTGCAGTGCGGTGCTGTGCGGTGCAGTGCGGTACAGTGCGGTACAGTGCGGTGCAGCGCGGTACAGTACGGTGCAATGCGGTATAGTGCAGTGCTGTGCGGTGCTGTGCGGTGCAGCGCGGTGAAGTGCGGTGCGGTGCAGTGCGGTACAGTGCGGTGAAAAGGTGGTGGAGAACCGCACCAGGGAGAGTGCAGATCGGACGGTCGTAGGGCCGGCGAGGAAGGGCCGGAAGTCGACGCGGGGCCGGCCGGGACAAGCGCGGGAGCCGGCTGGGATGGGCGCGGGACCGGCATGGACGGGCGCGGGGCCGGCTGGAACGGGCACGGGGCCGGCTGGGACAGGCGCGGGGCCGGCTGGGACAGGCGCGGGGCCGGTTGGGACAGGCGCGGGGCCGGCTAGGACGGGTGTAGGGGCGGCCTGGAGGGGCACGAGGGGCCGACTGGGACGGTCGCGGGGCCGGCTGGAACAGGTGCAGGGCCGGCTGGGAGGGGCACGGAGTCGGCTGGGACGGTCGCGGGGCCGGCTGGGACGGTCGTGGGGCGGGCTGGGACGGTCGCGGGGCCGGTTGGGACGGTCGCGGGGCCGGCTGGGACGGTCGCGAGGCCGGCTGGGACGATGGCGGGGCCGGCTGGGACGGTCGCGGGGCCTGCTGGGACGGTCGCGGGGCCGGCTGGGACGGTCGCGGGGCCGGCTGGGACGGTCGCGGGGCCGGCTGGGACGGTCGCGGGGCCGGCTGGGACGGTCGCGGGGCCGGCTGGGACGGTCGCGGGGCCGGCTGGGACGGTCGCGGGGCCGGCTGGGATGATCGCGGGGCCGGCTGGAACGGTCGGGGGGTTGGCTGGGACGGTCGCGGGGCCGGCTGGGACGGTCACGGGGCCGGGTGGGACGGTCTAGGAGAGGCGCGACGGGCTAGGAGGCGCGACGGGCTAGGAGAGGCGCGACGGGCTAGGAGGCACAAACGTGGGGGCCCAGGAGGGGCGTGACGGGTGCTAGGGGGGGGGCGTGACGGGCCCAGGGGGGCGCGACGGGGCCCAGGGGGGCGCGACGGGCCCAGGGGAGGCGCGACGGGGCCCAGGGGGCACAACGGGGCCCAGGGGGGGCGCGACGGGGCACAGGGGGCGCGACGGGGCCCAGGGGGGGCGCGACTGGTCCTAGGTGACACGACGGGGCCTAGGGGGCGCGACGGACGGGGGTAGGTCCTAGGGCGGAAGCGTGGGCGGGCGGGGGGACCTACCTACTGCTGATACCATCTTAGAACTGAAGAAATAATGAATAGAGAGAGAGAGTACAAGGGTATATACCTAAGAGTGTTGTACCCTCTAAGAGGCGACCCTATACAGTCTATACAAACATGAGTTATGCATATGTTTGACACTTAGAACTGAAGAAGTGATGAATAGAGAGAGAGAGTACAAGGGTATATACCTAAGAGTGTTGTACCCTCTAAGAGGCGACCCTATACAGTCTATACAAACATGAGTTATGCATATGTTTGACAGAACTTCCTAAACGAATCCTTGGGTTCAAGCAGACTCAGGCGAGACTGCTGGCTTATCTCGTTGCGTTTCGCAATGCGCTCCTGGGAAAGCTCTCGTGCGGCAACGAGAACCCAGCTACAGATGCAACGGTAATATCACGAATCGCAAAGGAGCTCGCGAGGCATAACGCTAAGGGCCTTTTACAGATCGACTGTAGCCGCATGTTACGCAAAATCCCAGAGTATTCGACCGTTGAATCGAGGTCTGTCCCTTCGCCTCTATTCATGACTAGCGTTCGCATAGCAGGCATGGCAAGGGAAGACACAGGCGAATCCTGTCTGACGAAGACTGAGGCAGAGAGCAGCACGGCTTTCAAAGCATGGTTTGATATCTTCAACAATGAAAATAATGTTGAAGGGGGCGATGCAGGGCGAAGTGTACAAGAGGAACAGAGGAATATCGACTGGGGGAGTTTTTAGCGGGCAATGCTTAAAATGGAAAATGAGTGATTTTGAGACAGAGGTGCTCCTTCATGGTTCCTGATAAGGTGTAAATATATATATTTTAACTGGGAAACAAAGAATGAGATTAGTACTAATGGATTAACTGTATGGACTTCTCAGAACGTCTCCCGTCTGAGAAGCACGGGGGAAGTTACATGAAAGCACCCAAACCGCCTCTGCAGGCAGTCCAGCCCCTTCAAAAACAGCTGGTGCTGCCTCTCTGCTGCAGTCAGGGCTGGCCAGTAACCCACAGACTGAGTGGATTTGGCCCTTGCAGGGCTAGCTTCCGAGGAATGGTGACATGCAGATGGGTCAGCAGATACGGGTGCAGGAGCCTCAGCAGAAGGGTGTGAAGGTGAAATGTTAGCCGCCTCGCCTTCCTCGTCTTTTCCCTCGTCCTCCTGATTCTCATCAATGCTCATAGCGTCGCAATCTCCCTCGTACTCCATCTCCTCCTCTTCCTCCTCTTCGTCCTCGTCCTCCCCCTCTACAGTCACATGCAGGTTCATCAACGTGGGGGTGTTTGAGAGTATGAGATGAAGCAGAAGAAGGCCTTCAGGACCTTTCTCCTCAACCCGCACTTTCAATTCTTCTAGCCGAGGCCACAAATTGCTGCCATTTAGTGTACCAAATGACGCACTTCTGCCGTGTGACTGTAGAAGGCCAGATTCTGCAGCCGAGCCAACCATATTCTGCCACGCTAGCACTCCCAAACGCAAACTTCTCAATCTCGGGCAGTTCCGCGCGAGCCAAGGAAGCGACGAAACCGAGGGCAGGCCCGAACCGCTACCCACAGCAAAAAAGTCGAGAGAAAGTGACTCCAGGGCGGCCGAATTGGACGAAATCAGGGATTCGATGGCAGGCCAGTTCAGCGAGCCCGCGCGGAGGTCAATTTGCGCGAGGCCATTGGAGTGAGGCGCGGAGACGAGCAGGCTGTTAGCGGAGGCAATCGCAAGTTGGCGCAGATTGGGCGCGTCGCGGATGGAGAGCGCGCGCAGAAACATGTCGCGAAGAGAGACGGACTGCAGAGAGTGCGCGGAACGAAGGGCGACGGAGTCCGCGCGAATGTAGGAGAGCGAGATGTGCTCGAGGGACGCCGGGAGGCGTACATGCAGGCGCGGGAAACCGGACGCCATGAAAATAGTGAGGCTGCGGAGATTGGGCGCGGCGTCAAGCACGGCGTGGAGTGCGGCGGGGGAGGCGTGGAGCCACGAGAGCGAGAGGTGCTGCAGGGCTGGCATGGGCTGGAGCGCGGCGAGAAGGGTGGGCGCGGAGAGGGACACGTGGCCCAATGAGAGCGAGCGCAGGCTGGTGCAGTGGCGGGAAATGTGCGCGAGATGCAGACTCGCGTCCTCCTCCTCCCACAGGTTCACCACCACGCTCCTGCCGCCGTCACCGCCGCCGCAATGTGAGGAAGCAGTGGCGGGAACGGCGCGCGAGAGGGTGAGTGAGCGCAGCGACGGCCCCACGTGGCGCATCCACGCCTCGAAGATAAACTCCCGCGGATGACGCGCCGACGCGGAATCCTCCTCCGCCGTGACTGCTGCTCCGTGCGCCGCCTCCGTGCCGCAGCAACCGCAGCCGCAGGAGGCAGGGGCGGCAGAGGCGGAAGTGCCACATTCGGCGCCGCAACCGCCCGCGGGGGAAGCGGCGGGAAGCGGAGTCACGATGCTGAGCTGGCGGAGGAATTGCGAGCGAAGCACCATGCGAGAGATTGACTCCTCGAAGCGCGCCGGTGAAGGGACTTGACGTTGCTGCGGGTTGCCAGTTCCGAAGCTGAGGCACGGCAGTTGCTTTGCAAGAGTGCTCCAACGACGACACGTCATCGACGCGACGCTGACGTCAGCCGCGGACCCGCCGAGTCGGGCGAGAATCTCCACGACAAGCTCGTCAGGAAGGAGGGAAAACCGGTCGGCGTTGAGCGGCGCCGACTCGCCGTGTGACGTGGCGGCGCGAGAGCTCGACGCGACGCCGCACGCTTGATTAGCGCATTCTGTAGAGACTTGAGCCAGTTCGGACGTGCCGCGTGGAGTCGACGCAGCGCCTTGCACGTCCGTTGTAGGAACGAGCAACGCGTCGTGGCTCTTAGAGTGTCCATGGCGCGGCGTGAGGGCCATTTCGCCTCGCTCTTTGGGCTCTTTCTTCGCGTTCGCCAGTGAGACTGGAGCAGAGATCAGGAGCCTGAGGTTGAGGTTGGGACTCTGCTGGTGTTCGCCTGAATGCTGCTGCTGTTGTAGTGGCGCGAGGTTGAGGCTATCTGTTGAGAAGTGGCTCCTGCGTTGGGAAGTGGATAAGACTTGCATGACGAACCAGTTCTTGTTTGTGGGCGAGTTTCAACGGCTGCTGAAACCCTATGTCACGTGACTATGGCAGTGGTCCCACTTGAGGGTTAAACGAGCGGACCGGTAGACATTCAACGAATGATGATAAGATTTAGAAGGCTGAGGATGACTGAGAATGTTATGGCTGATTGTAGGGTTTTCAATGTGTAAGTGGAGGGCGCTCATTTGGAGCTGACATGACGATGATAGGGAATGCAGGGCTAGTGGTGCGACAGAGGACAAGCAACGCCTTCTAGGCAGTGAATTGTACAAGGAAAATGGTTTTGTGGGATTGGATGGTTGTCAAGACAACGGCATTGAAGGTGCTTTATTCGTCAATGAGGGCTCAAGTTGCGACCCAGGGCGGCTCGACGACACCATAAATGAGAATCGAATCGAGAAGAAACATCGCCATAGCCAACCCGCTTCGAGTGTGGTGTGGGAGCGAATGGGAGGGAGGTGGTGGACGAGTGTCGCGCATTCGGTTCCGTTCGTTATCCCTCGCCCTCCCCGACTGGCTGCTTTGTCTGCCCACAGTCGTCGTCGTCGTCCTCTCGTCTATGTCCTCGTCAGCTCGCCCATGGCCAGTCCTCGTCATCTCTGTCGTCGCTAGCATTGTCGTGGAATCTCGCATAAGCTTATGTTACCAGCGTGCCAAAGCTGGTCCTACCAAGACGTGACGGATGTGTGCCACACTTGAAGGATGAATCTGATTCGTGGCTGCTTGAAGCATTTGATTCGGGGAAACCAAAGTCAGGGATGATTCGCGAATCAATGACGGTACTGTAGCACGATGCGAGCTGTCGCCTGCCTTGAGCGAGATATCGCCAGCAGGTAACGACGAGCCCCTTCCCCCTAGGGGAAATATAATGCTGCCGAGACGGCCAATCGAATCGCTCGTAGTCTCACGCCCCTGCCCTAAAACAGAATCGAAATTCATCGGCACCGACAAGATTTTTGCTGGCATGCACAGCTGGCCCAAGTGACGACCGAAATCCTTCATGTGTGTGGCCGTCACTTCCGTCCGTCACGCTGCTTCCTCTGTCCCTTCCTTACCAAAACCACGCCACTCGCCCGATGCTCAGCGGCTCTGTAGCAGGGCTTACTTTTGGTTTTTAGTCACCCTTAAAAAATCGGGCTCCTTGAAAGTTTACCCTTAATGTTCAGGGTCCAGCGAAAGGCAACCCTTAATCATCAGGGTTCGTTCGCACAGTACCTTTTTTACTGCCATGGTTAGAATCTACCAGGAGATGTATGGACAAGATAAAAAGGACGTGAGTAGCGTGCACGGGGCTGTGAGGGGAGAATGACGAAAATCCACTAAGTGAGTTGTCTCCCCTCTATTTGTGATAACGAGGTGTGAGTAACGTGCTGTGAGGGGAGAATAACGAAAATCTACTAAGGGAGTTGTCTCCCCTCTGTTGGTGACTACGAGGTGTGAGAAACGTGCTGTGAGGGGAGAAGAACGAAAATCTACTAAGGGAGTTGTCTCCCCACTGTTGGTGACTACGGGGTGTGAGTAACGTGCTGTGAGGGGAGAAGAACGAAAATATACCAAGGGAGTTGTCTCCCCTCTGTTGGTGACTACAAGGTGTAAGTAACGTGCTGTGAGGGGAGAAGGTCGAAAACCTTTGAGTTATCTCCCCTCAGTCAGTTGGTGTGAGTACGTGCTGTGAGGGGAGAACAACGAAAATCTTCTAAGGGAGTTGTTCCTCTTAAGGAGATCCCCCCTGTAGCCCTACCAGCACTAGTAGTACACTCAGGGTAGGAAACAAATGTACCCTTAATCTCAAGGGTTACACTCTTAATAAACCCTTAATCTCCCGGGTTCATAAACATCCAACCCTTAATTTGTGGGGCCAGCTGAAATAATACCTTTTATTTGACTCAAATTCAGGGCAACAACCCTTGAAAAATAGGCCCTGCTCTGTAGACTGATGAAAGTCGCCTGTGACGACGTTTCGTTTCGAGGAACGCGACGACAGCCAAAGCCAAGCCAACCAACCAGCAACGGTCACAAACAAAACGAGGACGACGACGATAAATGGGTGCCATGCGACTTCGCATGGACAGATTCCCTTCCCCCGCCACACTGACTGCATGGAGGTGAGACAGAACCAGGCCTCTCGCTAAGCTCCAGGGCATTCCGGAAGGGGACGGAATCGCCTCAGGATTACCCTTTAAAGCCCGTGGCCCAAATTGCGAGGCGCGACCTTCAAACGCACTGCGTTTGAAAGTCGCGTTTTCGTGGGTGTAGATGGGGGTAACATGACTCGCGTCACTCGGGGCTGGCTTTCAAGTTCAGAGCGGAACGTATTTTGGGACACCAAGTGCCTCGCGCTTTTTAGCCGTCCAATATTTGTCGATTTCCATCTAACGGCGCGCAAGTAAAGTAATTAGTCAATCGAAATGCAATCTCAGCCGTCGCACTGCCTGCTAGCAAATCGGACGATCTACGACAACTTCCGAATTCGCGACATGAAACACCCTCACAATTTTTCTGTGTATTTCGTCCAGGCCGAGGCTCACAGTTCATACGCAGTGCGTATGAACAACTTGGGCCGCGGGTTTTAACAGACGGAATTCCCCCGAAAAAACCCGTTACCAAAAGGAATCGGCCGCTCCAAATTCGGCTAGCAAATGATCAAAGGCGTGGCGGGGCGCGGGGGGAGGGGGGGGGTGCCAAACATATGTATAACATATATTTGTATAGACTGTATAGGGTCATCTCGTAGAGGGTACAACACTCTTAGGTATATACCCTTGTTGTCTCTCTCTATTCAACACTTGTTCAGTTTTAGTTTCTAACATGGTATCATCCGTAGGTTCGACCCCTCCCACCTACCGCTTCCGCCCGTGCCTATAGGGCCCCGTCGCGCGTTCCCCTAGGCCCCGTCTCGCCACCCCCCTCCTGGGCCCCGTTAGCGCCTCCTAGCCTGCTGCGCCCCTCCTGGCCCCGCCCCCCGTGCCTCGTAGCACCCCGTCGCGCCTGCCGGGCCTCGCCGCGCTCCCTGGCCCCGTCGCGCCTCCCTGGCCCCAGCTGCGCCTGCCTGGCCCCGTCGCGCCTGCCTGGCCCCGCCGCGCTCCCTGGCCCCGTCGCGCCTGCCTGGCCCCAGCCGCGCCTGCCAGGCCCCGTCGTGCCTGCCTGGCCCCGCCGCGCTCCCTGGCCCCGTCGCGCCTCTCTGGCCCCAGCCGCGCCTGCCTGGCCCCGTCGCACCTGCCTGACCCCAGCCGTGCCTGCCTGGCCCCGGCGCGCCTGCCTAGCCCCGCCGCGCTCCCTGGCCCCGTCGTGCCTCCCTGGCCCCAGCCGCACCTGCCTGGCCCCATTGCGCCTCCCTGGCCCCAGCCGCGCCTGTCTGGCCCCGTTGCGCCTCCCTGGCCCCAGCCGTGCCTGCCTAGCCCCGTCGCGCCTGCCTGGCCCCGCCGCGCCTGCCTGGCCCTGTCGCGCCTCTGTGGCCCCGCTGTGCCTGCCCGGGTCTGCTGCCCCTGCCTGGCCCCGCCGCGCCTGCCTGGCCCCACTGCCTCTGTCTGGCCCCGCCGCGCTCGCCTGGCCCTACCACGCCTCCTGGCCCCGCCGTGCCTGCCTCGCCCTGCTGCGCCTCCTGGTCCCGCCGCACCTGCCTGGCTCCGCCGCGCTGCCTGGCCCCGCCGCGCCTCCTGGCCCCGCGGCCCCTGCCTAGCCCCGTCGCGCACCTGCCTAGCCCCGCGCCTCCTGGACCCGTCGCCCCTGCCTGGACCCACTGCACCTGCCGTGCCCCCCCCCCCCCCCCCCCCCCTCGGGCTCCGACTCCTCGGCTCGCCCGTGCTGAGGCGCTTCGTGGCCGCCGTGCTGCCAGGGCGCTGTCGCTGTAGTTCTGCGTCGCTGTGTTCCTGTGGAGCGGTGCCGCTGACCCTGCACGATGGCGGACTTCGTGCTCCGACTGGACGCCAAGGGCCACGCGGTTGACTTCGCCGCCTGGCTCTCCGATCTCCACCGCCAGCTTACAAGTCAGCGTCAGGATGGCCACTCTTTGGTCGTCCATGTCGACGGCTTGCTCCCCCACCCCCCCACACCTGCTCCCCTCCCTGCTGATCCCTCCTCTGATGACCGTGAGACCTTCTCTACTGCTGCGCTTGCCCGTGCGGTCTGGGACTCCCGCGATGCAGTCGCTCAGGTTGCCATTAGCCACGCCCTCCCTGTCTCTGAGCGCTCGCGTTTTGCTGCTATTGAGATGGCCGCAACTTATTTAGACGCTGTTATTGCCCGCTATTCCACACCCGCCTCTGCTTCTGCTGGTCGCCTGCTCTTCCCTATGCTTTTCCCAGACCTTGCAGCTTTCCCTACCGTCGCAGACTTTGCCACTCACCTGCGTGCCCTAGAGACCCGCTATCGCACTGCTAGCACTGCTGCCCAGCTCACTGCGCTCCCCCCCCCTTTCCGCATGACGCTCTATTTTATCGCCATGCGCCTGCCAGACCGCCTCGCTAGTGCTCGCGATCACTTCCTTAGCCTGCACCCGGCTGACCTCACTCTCACCGCCTTTGTCGACACCCTCACCAAGATCGAGACTCCCCAGCGCACTATCGCTCAGTCGAGCGGTGCGCCGGCAGTCTCTATCTTTCACGGCTGTGCCCCCTCCCAGTGCACGTTCACTGACGTTTCGGCTGCGGTCGCCACGGCCACCCCCCTCACTGAGACGGCTGCTGTGGTCCACCCACAGCAGCGCTCGCGCCGCAGTGGCCGTGGTCGCCAGAGTGGTCGGGGTGGTGGCGCTGGTAATGGTGTTGGTGGTCATGAGAGTAGTCCGTCTGGGGGGACTAGCCTTGGTGGTCAGGAGCAGCAGCCCTAGCCGCAGCAGGAGCAGCCCGCGCCGTAGCCGCCGTCTCAGCAGCAGCCGCAGTCCCCGCCGCAGCTCCCGCAGCAGTGGGCTCGTCTCCCGTCTGGTTGGCCCGGCACCTCAGGAGGTGGTGGCACTGGTGGCGGCCCGCGTAGCTTGGCGTCTACCAGCGGCTCCGGTGCCGTGACCTGTCAGTACCAGCTTCAGACCGGGCCCCTTCGCGGCACTCTGTGCCGCCGCCCGCACCCGACTGCCCGCTGTTTCCGCTGCCTCGACGATCTCTTTCGTCGTCGCTTTGGCCCGGCC